ACTTAAATTAGTTATTAATTAATTTAATTATATATATATATATATATATATATATATATATATATATATATATATATATGGGGTTTGCTAACGCGCGTAGGCCTGTTTTTCAGTTGGTACATTTTAGCAATGTGTATCGGATTTTAGTAGACAAAAATATCCTTATATATAATGGATTCTAAGTTTTAAGGTTAAGAGTATTTTAATAATTTTCATTCTCAAAACTAAAAAAAAAAAAAACCCCAAATCCTTACTCACCTCTCTCATTCCTCTCAACCTTTTCTCTTTCATCTTTCTCACTCCAATATTTTCTCTGTTATCCCTACTGTAGCCCCAATTGAAAAAATAAAAAACACTTGCCGTTAAACAATCTTACAAAAAAATGATTTTATAATGAGTTTTGATCTTATAATTTTTGTCTTATATAATTTTATCCAATTTTCACAAGTATAAAGGAATTGGTAATTGACTTAGAAAAAATCAGAAATATTCGCTGTTAAACAATTTCTTACAAAAAAATGATTTTATAATGAGCTTTTATTTTATAATTTTTGTCTTTTTCTAATTTTCACAAGCATAATGACATCCAAAAGAATTGGTAATAGGCCTGGAGGGTTTTTTTAGAGATGTTGATTCAACATAGGCAGATGATGAAATTAGAGAGGTTAGTGAAGATGGTGAAGTTGAAGAGATCTTGAATGAACCTTTGCCTGAAGGTGAATATGTCAATGACTCAACTCTTTACAAAGACAAATTGTTTAAAGAAAAATGTTTCTGATTTTTTCAATTGGAACTATAGTAGGAATGACAGAGAAAAGGTTGGAGTGAGAAAGATGAAAGAGAAAGGATTGAGAGGAATGAGAAGAGGTGAGTAAGGGTTTGGGATTTTTTTTTTTTTTTAAGTTTTGAGAATGAAAATTATTAAAATACCCTTAACCTTAAAACTTAGAATCCATGATATATAAGGGTATTTTTGTCTACTAAAATCCGGTACACATTGCTAAAATGTACCAACTGAAAAACAGCCGTACGCTCTGTATGATTTGCTAACTTACATTTTGATGGGGTGAATATGAATTTAGTCAGATAATACATTTTTTATATATTTTTATCACAATTTAAATTATTTATTGAAAATTTAGAATGAAATTTTTATATACTAAAATATTTACTTAATGTTACTATTCATTGTAGTAAAATTTATATTCTTGAAATACTTTTTTATTATGAGTTTGGCAGTATAGTAATTTTCAGACATTAGGTAGCAATAACAATATGATTAATGTTGGAGAAAAGCAGGTTAGGGTGTATTGGGCGTGGTTCTGCGGCTGTGGCGTCCATCTTTGGTACGGTGTACCTGTCTTCCCTTTCAATTTGTTGTTTCTCTCAGATACAGTCAAAGGTATGTAACTGAGCACTTATTTTCTGTTCTCTCACACCATCAATCATACCTTCTTCATTTCAATTGCTATTTACCGATTCAATTTTAGCCTTAATTAAAGATAAAAGATGTGAAAGCTTTTGCATAAATTTGATTTTGACTATAATATGTTGCATTTAACCAAAACAATTGGAATAATCCATGTATGTGTGTATGTATTATTAAGATTAACTCCTTTTTTTAAACTAGATATGGCATTTTTCCTTTGTTTGTCATCCTTTCCATGAATCATGTTCTGGAATTGAAATAACTGATAAGATTGTTGATCGACCTGTATGAGATTTATGTGTTCATCAATGCTTCTATTTTGAATAATGTAGGCTATGTTTGGTTTTCAGTTGGAAGACCCTTGAGCTCAAAAAGCGATTTTCAGTATACTAGGTTCAACCTCAATTGTGTTTTGAAATTCAGTTTCAAATGGAAGAAAAGGGAGTTTTTTTTGCCTACTCAGATTGAAAAATGAGCATCTTCAACCGTAAGTTTACAATTTAAATCCAAACGACCACTTTTGTGAGATGAAGTTTGAACATGCTACCTCTTTTTTCACCCAATCTTCATATTCTTCAACTAAAATGCATTATCCTCTACTCTTTCCAAATAATGAGACATGCTCACTGTAATCACGAGGAACAATCAAATAAACTGGTTTGGCTTCTAAGGCAGGTTAGAAGATACTGAGAGCGTGTTACTTTTCTTTGATCTCTACAATGATATGAAAACGTTGAGAAGGTGTGAGAGATTTTGTGATTGTTATGGAATCCAGTTTAGGAAATTGTCAGTTATTTCTGAGGGCAAACCCAAGCCCTCAATGGTTGAAAATGTTGTTCATATGGAGCGTGTGTCAAATTTGCACTATCTTTTGCAGTTATGTGCAAAAACAAGATCATCCATGGGAGGAAGAGCATGCCATGCTCAGGTTATTCGTGTTGGCTGGGAAATTGATGTATTAACTTCAAATATGCTGATTAACATGTACTCTAAATGTTCTTTAGTTGATAGTGCACGCAAAAAATTCAATGAAATGACAGTGAAAAGCTTAGTTTCATGGAATACCATGATTGGAGCACTTACCCAGAATGCCGAGGATCAGGAGGAAGCTCTAACTCTTTTAATTCAAATGCAAAGAGAAGGAACCCCATTCAATGAATTTACCATTTCCAGTGTTCTATGTAAGTGTGCCTTCAAATGTGCTATACTTGAGTGCATGCAGTTGCACGCTTTTTCAATTAAGGCTGCTATAGATTCAAATTGTTTTGTTGGAACTGCTTTACTCCATGTTTATGCTAAGTGCTCTTCAATAAAATATGCAAGTCAGATATTTGATAGTATGCCTGAAAGGAATGCTGTTACATGGAGTTCAATGATGGCTGGATATGTGCAGAATGGGTTTCATGAGGAGACTTTGTTACTTTTTCACAATGCTCGGTTGATGGGTTTAGAGCAGGACCCTTTTATGATATCATCAGCTGTTAGTGCTTGTGCAGGCCTGGCAACTTTGGTTGAAGGGAAGCAACTGCATGCCATTTCAAATAAGTATGGATCTGGGTCAAACATATACGTTTCTTCCTCCCTTATAGACATGTATGCCAAATGTGGCTGCATAAAGGAAGCATATCTTGTGTTTCAAGGTGTGATGGAGGTTTGGAGCATTGTTTTATGGAATGCAATGATTTCTGGGTTCGCCAGACATTCTCATGCACCCGAGGCTATGGTCTTATTCGAAAAAATGCAGCAAAAGGGCTTCTTTCCTGATGATGTGACATATGTAGCAGTACTAAATGCATGCAGTCATATGGGTTTACATGAAGAAGGACAGAAGTATTTTGATCTCATGGTCAGACAGCACAAACTTTCACCGAGTGTCCTTCACTACTCATGTATGGTTGATATTCTTGGTCGAGCAGGACTTGTTCACAAGGCTTATGAATTGATAGAAAGAATGCCATTTAATGCAACTTCTTCTATGTGGGGTTCACTTTTAGCCTCTTGTAGAGTTTATGGCAATATTGAACTTGCTGAGATTGCAGCCAAGCATCTCTTTGAAATGGAGCCTAATAATGCAGGAAACCACATCTTGCTAGCAAATATATACGCAGCTAATAAAAAGTGGGACGAAGTTGCAAGAGCAAGGAAGCTTCTTCGAGAGAGTGATCTGAAGAAGGAGAGGGGTACAAGTTGGATTGAAATTAAGAATAAAATTCATTCATTTACTGTTGGTGAGAGAAACCATCCACTAATCGATGAGATTTATGCCAAGTTGGATGATTTGGTGGTAGAGTTGAAGAAGCTAAATTACGAGGTGGACACCGATAATGACCTCCACGATGTGGAAGAGAGCAGGAAACAGATGCTTTTGAGGCACCACAGTGAGAAGCTTGCTATTACCTTTGGATTGATGTGTTTGCCTAGTGGTATACCAATTAGGATTATAAAAAACCTCAGAATTTGTGGTGATTGCCACATTTTTATGAAACTTATGTCCAAGTTTACTAGCAGGGAGATTATTGTTCGAGATACAAACCGTTTTCACCACTTTAGGGATGGATTCTGTTCCTGTCGAGAGTTTTGGTGAGGTTCTGATGTATATATATATATATTTCATTTTTTAACTCCAACTAGCACATTGATTGACATAGGGGGCAGGTGTGGTGATCAAATGACTTTGGCAATCTCCTATCCATGTTTAATATTACATAGGAACATTTTTTTTTCTGATGCAAATGATTGATTTTAGTTTGTCGTAAAGTATGAAGGAGATATATGTCTTTAAATCTGCGTTAGGCGCACACTGATTCACGTCAAATTTGATAAAGAACGCAGTAGTATTAGTTGTTTTGGTGCACCTCCAATTCATGATGCCACAGACTGGTGTTGTGAACAGAACATCTCCATTGGCAATATAGGCAAAGTTATTTATATAGTGGCTTGAAAGAAAATAACATTGGAGCAAATGATGTGCAGTTAGTTATGTTGGCAAGACTCAAGAATTTCTTAAAAGTAAATTACTAAGAGTTATGTAATATATTGAAAGAAGTGACCATCAAATAATGTTCTTTAAGGATACATTTTAATTATGGAATTTTATGATGCTCTTAACTTATGCTTGTGAATGTATATTTTTTTAACGAAACTCTGGTCGAAGGATTCTAATAAGCAGCGAGCTCCTATTTCACTTTAAACCATCACACGCCATCTTTGTTTTTAAACTCTAGTCGAAGGACAGAAATCCCTATACATAAAACACACACGCCATCTTTGTTTTTAAACTATCACACGTCTCATTCGCTGCATTAAAACTTGTTTAAGTACCGAGGAAACCCTAAGTTATAAGGTTATGACTGTCATACATTCTTTAACTACCTACTGTTCTTTCTTTCCGAATCTTTGATCCTGCAATAGTTTCACCTTTGACAATCGCAAGTTTTAATTTTAAAATCAAACAAACCCAACTTGGTAAAACTAGCCCCCTGTGGCAAGAACTTCAATTAATTAATTAATATTCTTAAACTTTAGCCATTGAAATGTAGGTCGCACCAGCACTGGCGATTAATTCAGGTGTCTTATATGGATTAATCCAAGTGAAAAAATCAATTGTTCATTTTATTAGATTAAACAAAAAATAGCGTAATATTATCTAACTAATAAGTACTCTGACATTCGCGAAGCTAAATTTTTTAGCCTTCGGCGGAAGCTTGAATACAGATGTAATCCAAACTAAGTGTTTTCAATGAAAGGATCTCCTCGCTTTACTACAAGAGGAAATGCCTTATATATACAGTGACTTTTGGTACTATACAAATTATAAAATAATTCTAACAAAAAAGGAATGTCGTTAGAAGAAGCAAAGTTGAAGATGCATCAATGATCTTAATATTCACCATCTTGGCGGCTACGTCTTAATTCATTATGAACCTCAACAAAAATCTGCCACAAGTAAACAAAACCCAGTAACTAACGTTATTGTCAGATAAACAACTAATGTTATTCGTAGTTTTCGATAGAAAACTTTCATAGAGTAAAAATATAGTCTGCGAGGTATTAGTTTTACCATTCGGAAAATGTAGGTCCAGTAAAAAATCTTACGTGCAATGTGAAAAATCTTCATCACAATTCACAGCCGATTATATCGCCAAATTCGTCTACCATTGTTTCAATCATTTGTGTTTTAAATAAATAAAAAAATGTCCAAAAAGCAATTTTTTATTCCCATTTACGTTTGTTATTATTCATAATCAGTTGTCAGAGTTAAACTTATTCTTTAATGTAGCATAAATTAATAAATATTAGTTTAATGTGACCCGTCTAAGACTATGGCAATATGGTTAACATTTTTTCACTTCATAATTCCTAATTAAGCAATAAAATTCTTCTTTCCCTACATACATGTCAAGAGACAACATACCTTTAACACAAAATCCGTGTTAATAAGATCAATATGCTGTGCTACCGTAACTGAAGCTTCCGCGGCAGGAGAACTACAAAAGAATGCAGTTAGTGGTTAGTTTCAGACAACAATATAAACAGCTTATAAATTTTAAGTGTTACCTTCTGCTATATTACAAAAGCTTTCCTGGGGAAAAATCAGTTCTGGGTCCATTTTCTGGGAACTAACAATCAGAGAAAGGCTATGCTTGCTGCAAAAAGCAAACCAGATTCAATATTTCAGGTTAGACAACCTAAAATTTCAACCAATTTCTAACCATCAAGCAATAATTATAAATTTTTGGTGTCAAACGCTTACTCTTAAAGCTTTTTCTCATTTTCTTTCTCAGTTTAAATAAAAATGCCCACGTGAACTACGAAAGGATTCCAACACCCAGATATCAAATTAAAAATGACGCTCCAAAAACTCGAACAATTACAAACCTTGCCCATGAAGGGATAAACTTGTTGCTGGGCATGTCATCCTCATCTTCATCTTCGTCTTCGTCATCTGAACCTTTATAAGGAGAGATCTCGTACGATTGCTCTTGAAGTGTGTTTTCGATTATCAAGTCACCATCATCTTTCTCTTTGATTAAATTGTCTATTACCTATAAAGATGTACATTTAAATACTCGGATGATTACAAAAGCAAGAGAGCAAGTCCAAAATACAATTTTATATATTTGAAACGTATGATCGACTACTACAAGCAGTCTGTCTCCTCCATCAGTACAAGAAGAAGCTAAAATTATTTCAAATATCAAAGCTAAAATCATTTGACATCGCATTAAAAACATTGGCACTATTTGACTGACAAGGAAATAAATGTCATGTATTGTTAAAAGAGAAACTTATTTCTACAGTGGGAAAATATTACTCATAGCCTTGAACAGAGTGGTTAAAATCATCCCAAATATGAATATTAACGATAACAAAGAGGGCCAAAGAAAATATTACCTTTCCATTATTATTAAAGTCATTCACTGATTCCGAATTTTCCGGACACGGTTCTTTTCTTTTATGATTTGCTGAATCCCTCATGGCCAACGATTCATTTTCAGAAATATTCATCGTATTGCATTCTCTTTTGTCTTGCGCACGCAAATTCTTCTGATATTCTTTTGAATCCAACAATTTCTTGTTTTCCTGGACTTCTTCACCCTGGATCAGACAACCCATGTATTATTATTTTCCTGAAAGTAGAGAGAGAGAGAAAGAACAAGGGAATGTTATTTACCGTAGTTCGGCGTTCTATTTCTTTCTGTTCCTTCTTTCCCCGTACCTTCTCATGCTCTTGCAGCTGCTTCTTCATGTCATTAACACGCTTCCTTTTTTTCTCTTTCTCCTTCTTTTCTTCATCCTCCCTTTGTCGCTTCTTTGTTGCAATTTGTTCCTCCTTTTTCTTGCGTTCTTCCTCTCTTTTTTTCTTCTGCAGCTCCAGCTCTACCTTCTCTCGCTGAAGTCGCAACACCTCCTTCTTCATCTTGCGCTCGTTCTCTTTTTTTTCTGCCATACGCTTGGCAGCCTCAGCTGCCTCCAGGGCCTTCACTTTGATGTCTCTTTTGCCTACATGTTCAAATAATTATATGACCAATTGTATGACCATGTCAAGATGAATTGCAATCTTCAAATAAGGCAACCTTTATTATAAAACAGATATGATCACTTACCCGTAACAACCGCTGCAGCTTGTTTTTGTTGTACTAATGGAACAAAGGAAGAAACGTTGGATACAATATTGTTAATGGGGCCACGTTTCATACTATCTTTTCCAGATAACTTTGGCCTACCGGGCCTTTTGCAGACTGATTCTGTGGTCCGCTTGACATCATTCGCTCCAAGAGATATATTCTGGTTCTCCTTCCCCTTTCTTGTGAATCTCTTCCTATTGCTATTCTCAAGCTTATTTTTCACCTTACTGCCAGTTCCGCTCAGATTAAACTCTGTGCTTACAACATCATCACGCCTACCTGCTAATACATCATCTTGTAAAACCGATAAAGAATGGTTTGCATCATCTACGATCTGAGCTAGAGGTTTTCTTTTATTTGATCCAGCCATTCCTTGGGAATCAATGCCCCTTTGGAATGTGTCAGCAATCTCATCAACAACTTCATTTTCTTCGGTANCTAACCATCAAGCAATAATTATAAATTTTTGGTGTCAAACGCTTACTCTTAAAGCTTTTTCTCATTTTCTTTCTCAGTTTAAATAAAAATGCCCACGTGAACTACGAAAGGATTCCAACACCCAGATATCAAATTAAAAATGACGCTCCAAAAACTCGAACAATTACAAACCTTGCCCATGAAGGGATAAACTTGTTAATGGGCATGTCATCCTCATCTTCATCTTCGTCTTCGTCATCTGAACCTTTATAAGGAGAGATCTCGTACGATTGCTCTTGAAGTGTGTTTTCGATTATCAAGTCACCATCATCTTTCTCTTTGATTAAATTGTCTATTACCTATAAAGATGTACATTTAAATACTCGGATGATTACAAAAGCAAGAGAGCAAGTCCAAAATACAATTTTATATATTTGAAACGTATGATCGACTACTACAAGCAGTCTGTCTCCTCCATCAGTACAAGAAGCTAAAATTATTTCAAATATCAAAGCTAAAATCATTTGACATCGCATTAAAAACATTGGCACTATTTGAATGACAAGGAAATAAATGTCATGTATTGTTAAAAGAGAAACTTATTTCTACAGTGGGAAAATATTACTCATAGCCTTGAACAGAGTGGTTAAAATCATCCCAAATATGAATATTAACGATAACAAAGAGGGCCAAAGAAAATATTACCTTTCCATTATTATTAAAGTCATTCACTGATTCCGAATTTTCCGGACACGGTTCTTTTCTTTTATGATTTGCTGAATCCCTCATGGCCAACGATTCATTTTCAGAAATATTCATCGTATTGCATTCTCTTTTGTCTTGCGCACGCAAATTCTTCTGATATTCTTTTGAATCCAACAATTTCTTGTTTTCCTGGACTTCTTCACCCTGGAACAGACAACCCATGTATTATTATTTTCCTGAAAGTAGAGAGAGAGAGAAAGAACAAGGGAATGTTATTTACCGTAGTTCGGCGTTCTATTTCTTTCTGTTCCTTCTTTCCCCGTACCTTCTCATGCTCTTGCAGCTGCTTCTTCATGTCATTAACACGCTTCCTTTTTTTCTCTTTCTCCTTCTTTTCTTCATCCTCCCTTTGTCGCTTCTTTGTTGCAATTTGTTCCTCCTTTTTCTTGCGTTCTTCCTCTCTTTTTTTCTTCTGCAGCTCCAGCTCTACCTTCTCTCGCTGAAGTCGCAACACCTCCTTCTTCATCTTGCGCTCGTTCTCTTTTT